TCTACGATTTGTTCCGTAAAAATTAACTACGTACCCGTCTGATGACCACCGCTGTGGGGACAGCAAGTCATTCCGTAATTTTTCCCCAACGATTGAGAAACTTTACGAAACGGAACGTAAAAATAACTCCCCAGCTTCATAAAAATTGTTGAACGTTCAAGAATTTTTTATTTTGGAGGCATAATAAGTCGGCAAGTTTCTGTAAGATTTTACTTGTTCGGGAAAAATTACGTGACAATTTCGTACATTGTTCGGTGCTGAACCTGAGAATTCACTGAACGTTTCAGATTTCGTCTCTTCCATTTCTATAAAAATTGCCGGAAAGCGATTCCCCATTGCGGATTACATGAATTGTTCCGTAATTTTTACAGAATATTTATCTCCGTGCAACTAAATCCACACTGATAGAATGATTCATTTATTCCAAACGAGATTCGTTAACTATTAATGAATGGTAGAGTTGAATATGACCCAATAAATATTCATTAATAGTTGACGAATGGTTCACGTGAAAAGTGAAAGTCGAGTCAAACAAGACTCCTCAAATATGCATTTGTTAACTATTAGCGAATGAACATTTGGTGAGACCAAATAGACCCTAGCCTTCAACCAAATCCATCTGTTAACAATAACTAATCCTGTCTGTCAGTGCATTTGTTAACAATAACTAATTCTTTCTACCAGTGCAGAGGGAGAGTTATCTCCACTGCGGCTAATTTATTCCGCTCGTTATACTCATAAAACGGTCATGGATCGATTCAGTTGACCCGCCAGTGCCTTTCACCGGGTCAAATATTGGGGATCCGTTGTGTTTCTCATCAACCCGAGCAAACAGAATGTAAATAAATTACACGATGCAGAGTGGCGTCTCGGGGAGGAAGTGATGAAAACCCTTTTAATTTATTCATGAGCCTTACGAATGACCGGGTCGTACGATCCAGCAGGAAGGTGCAGGCCAGTATGATACAGTGAAAATAAAACATCTTTTCAATGAAAAATTCAAGTGCCTCTTCAAAATTTTCCTCTCATCCGAGGTGTTGAAATAATGAAAAAGAAATGAAAACAATCAATAGTGAGGGATAAATAGTATTCTTCTTGCTCGCAAACGCTCCCCAAACGTGCACAAATGGTTTGATAAAATAAAGTAGTGAATATTGTGCAAATAAAGTATTAATTTTCAGATGAGCGAAATTGAATTCAATCTAGCGGTTCCATTCAATTTCAAATAATTCAGGAAATTTCAGTAGAATAGGGAACTTGCATGAATTATTTTAGATTTTCTGATCTCAAGTTTGGGACCTGAATAATTCATTTTCCGGTCACAAACGCTTGAAATATTGCTCATTAATTAATAATTAATTGTTAAAAGTTGAGGATTTTAAACGCTTTGAAATCGCTAATGACGTCACACGGACGGTCGAGCGCTGGACCAACCGCTGAATGGCTCGAGCCGACCTAATCCAATCTTGAGGTGCGCCTCGGCCAATGGGGGTCGACAACTCCCCACTCTCTTCTTTTTCGACCAATGAAGCGATACCTGACCGTCTTCGTGACGTCGTGACCGAACAATTGGCCTCGAAAGCGACTGGTTTTCAATTAATTATCACAAGACATCTGGGCAATATTTCTTCATAATTTTCGCCGTTTAGCTATCCATAGGTTACGAGGAATATGTGAATAGGGCAATTAGAAAGAATTGAGCTTCATGCAAGTTCCCTATTCAAAATTTTTGAGCAACAGGATTTTTTTTGCATTCGTGTTTTCTTTGGAATTTATCTATATTTTGAATCAAAACTGGAATACTCATTGCAAAATCGTTCAATCAATTGAAAATTCAAGAATATATTTGAGTTTTTCTTCAATTTTTCGCATTTCTATTAATTTTTATTTAATTATTGAACTGAAATTTTCAGTTTCCATTGACTTTTTCACCAAAATGCGTTTTTCTAATTGAGAAATTTATTGAAATTTCAGCGAAATTGTCACTTGATAAAAACTTCTAAAAAGTGTATCGGAAATTTCAGTCGAAAATTTTCCACAGTACTGCTGAAAACATTCTTTTTTCACTGAAAAGAGTGACCAAAAAAAATTATTGTTGACAGTACTCAGTCAGGATTGAAATAACGTGTTGGGAATATTTGTGACATTGTAGTTGGGGGTCTACAACCTCGCTCGGCTTCACGTACACGGGATTTTGGTACCGTTGGTGCTGCTCGTGCGAGACCTTGACTCGCCTCTTTAATCCACCTCTGTGGAACTTCCAAGGAGCATAACCGGTATTATCGTTGTATATGGGCCTTCGCTTGCTTTCAGTATCTATCGATCTTGAGTTGGTATAGGTTCTACGGAGGTACGTGGGCAGTGAGAGTTGCCACTTCCTGGATTATTCTGAAAATCTCGCGGTGTATCATCGCATTATCGTTAATATAAAAAAAAATATACGACTCGTAGATTCTGGGTGATTAAGAGAAGGCCAGACGCCGGAAATGAGTAATTTTTTATTTATCCACTGTTAGCTCGTATGGAAATTATTTTAGACGAGTCTTGTAAAATTATGAAGGATTATCTTATGACGAATTGAGATAACTTGTGCGGGGAAATTTCTCCAGAGGAATATTCCGAAATAGAAAGATTTTGTTTATAGGTACAATTGCAATAGTTCTTATTCAAGTTTAAGGGAAAAGATTCGTAAGAATGCAGACAACTATTGTTATGAATTCTCAACCTCGGGCCCGAATAGTTTTTTCCGTACTGATCTTCACTTTTCCTCCTCCGAGGATTGGTATTATCCGCGCTGTCATTATGGTTTTTTTTTTAGCCGTGTGGTCGGTGCGCCTCGCCTTCGGCTCGGCTGACCAACTCCACACGAGTAAAAAACCTCGTAACGACAGGCCGGAAATATACTATTTCGACCCGTGGGAGGCGTGTGGCGCTGGCCGGAGGCCAAATAACACTTTCTCAACGAGTGTCAAACCCTATATTTTATCACATGTGGAAAACGAGACTTTACGCACGCGGAGCGTGTTTAAGGGTGCCAAGTGAATTTGAAGAAAGATTCAAAAAAAATTTTTTCTTTCCCTCCACCATCGGAGGAATATGTATTCATCCATCTGACGAAATTTCAAACCCGCAACCGGAACTAGACATCGAGAAAATAAATACGGAAAATCCTCCATTTCGCGCGACAAACCTCGAGAAAGCATGGGATCAAATGAGTACGGGGGGTTGAAATATCTCTCCTATTCACCCCGGTACCCCATTGTTTTTTGTCGCTATCACATTTGACACATAATTTCCCGTATCTTCAAATTTTTTCAAATTTTTCTTGAGTTTCTAGGGGGGCGAAACGTTCAATTTAATCAAAACTCCATAAGAGCCCGTGTATAAGACTGATTTGGTTTATTTACTTTCTCGATACCCATAAGTTGTAAAATTCTAAAATTGTCAGCGATGTTCACTATCTGTCTAATACTATTAATTAAAAAAATTATAACTCTGTTGGTAAATGTCCATTTTCAAGGTCATTTTCAGGGTCAAAAGACACACTTATGAAAAAACCGTATAGAAATTTCCTATACGGATTGCGTATAGAATTTCTATAGGATTTTCGTATGTGATATTCGGATATTTCTGTACGGATATTTTTATACAAATTAATTCTGTACGATTTCTATAGGTTTGATCCTATACGACCCACTGCCACATGTACAGAAATATTTCGTATGGAGTTGCGACATTTCTCTACGTTTTTCTCTGGAGCGTTTAGACATCTTTCGTATGAAAACAAAAATTTATGTATAGAAATAATTCGTATAGAAAATATTCGTATACTAGGGGGCTCCGCCCCCTGCTCGCTTCGCTCGCAAATCCCCGGGGCGGCTTCGTCCCCCCCCCCCCTCTCAATCTTCGTTGGTCTGTTTAGGTGTTCGTATTGTACAGAAAAAAAATTGATAGAATAATTGACCTCCTTTGAAAAATTGAGTTTTGTTATTTCCAAAAGGCTCCAACCAACGCCTTTTGTATTGAGACTCACACATTCATTTTTTCATTTATTCACATAAAATAGGATGAGGTATACTCTTATCATTATTTTTTAAAGATTAATCGCCATATAATCCCACATGAACTTATAGAGCTATAATCATATTAAAGAGCTGGAGATAATAACTCATCTCATCATGAGGGTCATAGATAAGGGTCAGAAGCAGGAGCGTCTCCTGAATTTTTGAACCTCCTTATTTTTTTATTATATAGAGAGATAAATATACGACTATCATATACGGAAATCCTACAGCATTTCTATACGTAATCCGTATAGAAAATATCTATACGATTTTTTCATACGTGCAGTCGTTACCAAAGAGGCTTCTTCACATCCTCGAGAAGATAGACAAATGAATCAGGAGGTTCGGAGGGGGATACACAACAATATTATAGACCACTCAAGCATAAACTTCGTTTTCAACGAATGTGAACGCAGACCTCGCCTTGAAATTTTCGCCTTAGTGCTCTAATGCACTATTTCATCCTCAAGTATCAGATGTACCTATTCTATACCTCAGTATTCTCATTGTCTATTCGAACTCCTTCGCCTCCATCATTACTTGTCCCTCGCCAACTTTCACCCTACACCTCAAGACCTCTGAATCTATTCTCCAAAGGACTCGGATGCAACGACAGCTTCCGTTCCGCTCATTTTCCCCTCAAATGAACCGCAAAAGTGAGAAATCTTCATTAGTCCCATGAAGAATACCGCGGTAAAGCGATTTACAATGCGACGATTCATTAAGATGGAACCGAAGATATTGCTTGATTCCCGAGATCGTGGGAACCGGTGAATCATATTCCTAGGATCCTTCAGGCCCATACTTAACGGTAAAGCCAACTCTGAATGTAAACGTGTTATTTTCCTCCTGAAAACGTCATAAATATACCAGAAAAAAAGGTTTCCTTGAGTTTTTTTTTCAAGTAATTATTCGGACAAGAATTTTTCTGCTGGTAACAGTTTATTCTACAACACAGTAAATATCGAAAAAGATACAGATTCTGTAGATTCGTTTTTCTAGAGGTAAAAACGAGTTCAATGTGTAATGGAAAATTGAGCAATTGTGTACGTGTATATGTAGAGTGTATGAATGTGTTTATTGTGATAATAGCTCAATAGAAAGTCATCACTGCAGCTTCCCGTGTCTTTGTTCATGGCGAATAACAACATCAGAACTATTAAAAACATTGCTTTTCAAATAAAAAAAAAGCAGAGCAATGGCACCACAAGATTTTCAACAAAAAATGTCGTAATATTTACACAAAGCGATGGAACAAACTAGCGTTAAAAAAATTCCGACCAGCAATCGTCATCAGCAATTTAATCACAGACGTTATGAATGAACAAAAGTGGCAATTAGAAGCAATTAATGAATTCAGCACAATGAGAATGCGTTTCAGACCATTCTTCTCATTTCTTTGACGACTAAATACTATTGTCTAATTACAGTCCACTTAGAGAAAAGAGAACATGTTCTCGAACAAAAAAAACATGTTCCATTAGCAAGATAACAATTTTATTCAACATGTTGCATTAGAACATTTGAAAGTTTAGATGGTGCCTTCTGAGGAGAAAATATCTCTCATGAAGTTAAGTTAATCAACAAATATTCAATCATATCTCCATCGCTATTATTCTGTTTGAGGACTCATCTCTTATTTTTGAACATTTTCCTTGGAGAACATGTTCATTTTCCCTCAGTGCAGTAGAGTTCAACAGACAAATGCTAATTGTGCACAAATTTTCGATGAATGATTAACACTTTGATCACGTATATTTGGTCATTAGTCTCTTATCTCTAGTCGTAGCAGTATATTCAGAGGAAGATTTCGTTAGTGTGCAGATGTGCTTGGAAGAATATCTCAGTTCCCTTGACACAATTGGAGATTAAAATCTCGTACTGATTCTTAAGGCAATTATCAGCTTCCTCTGTCCCAATTTACCTGACCCCCGCGTACTCTCCAATTAGTCCAGGGACTTTCATTTTTTTTCAGATGATTTCACTCCTCACTACTTCATCCTATTCCCTAATCGTTTTAACGTCAATACTCTCGCTTTTAATTCTAGGATAGTTACATTAGTTTTGATTCTATCAGGAAGTTATTGGATAATTTGATTATCGTAGGTTCTACATCGTCTGCTCATCTGCACCACCTTTCATTGATCTATAATGAATTATTGGGTATCTTTCGACAGTATCTAATGTCGATACAGATTTGATTATGCAGGCATTGAGTTCCAGCATGCACTTTACATGAACACATGGTAATTGTAAAAATCAATGATTTAATGGTGTCTTCGTAATGATTAATTAAAAGTATATCTAAAAAATATACATATTTATATACCCTGTGAAATAATCTCGGTTAATCAGGGAGGGTCTTCATTTCCTAGAAATTCTCACAATTTTCTGAACGACGAGTGGAAATGAGGGAAATTATAAATTATAGGGCGTTAAGTCTTAAGGGTCTCTCTGTAAGGAGTCTACTCATTTTAGCTGGGGTATTTTCTTGTGGCCCACGATCCTGTCACGGAGGATGTTGAAGTGCCCCTGTACTTGGGATACCTGGGCTTTTAAGGAGTCGGTCAGTTGCTTTTGGAGCTGCTGGACCTCTAGGATCTCCTGTCGGAGACTCTGGTACTCGTCCTTGACTTGGGCTACTGAACGAATTAGTGTGAGGACTGATAGCTGGAACATTGTAATTGTTTCCTGGGATTTATTTTTATGAAGGGGGGAGAAGTAGAAATGGGAGGTTGTGGGAAAAAATTGCAGAGATTATTTTGTGAATATTTCGTTGGTGAGATGGTTGAGCAGAGTTTAGCTGGAGGTATTTTGTTGTGGAGCACTGGGTAAATTCTCCTTGATCTGGTGGTTTTCAGGTATTTGGAAAATAATTAATGGTGAAGTGAGAGAGGGAGATTAATAGATTAATTGTTGTTGGTTTTCAGATATTTAAATATTAATTAATGAGAAAGTGGGAGAGACAGATTTTTTTAGATTAGTAGTTATCAACACGTGATGGGTTATTTACAGGAACAATTATTACATAATTTGGTAGGTTTGAATAGGTTTCTGGATTGTCCTTTGAAAATTTGACTTTTTTAATGGTAGACTCTGATCTCATTTGTTTTAATGAATTCATGAATGAAATTCCTGAAATTCTCCTTGATCCACTGATTTTTAAATATTTAAAGATTAATTAATGATGAAGTGGGAGAGGGAGATCTTCATAGATTAATATTTACCAACACTTGGTGGGTTGTTTACAGTAAAAAATATTATTTACTTTAGTAGGTTTGCCTTGTAAATGCCCTGTAAATGCCTTGGGATTTACAGGACATTGTGTCTCCTTGATTCCCTGATTTTTAGATATTTAAAGATTAATCAATGATGAAGTGGGAGAGTAAGATTTTTTTAGAATAGTAGTTATCAACACTTGATGGGTTACTTACAGGAACAATTATTACATAATTTGGTAGGTTTGAATAGGTTTCTGGATTGTCCTTTGAAAATTTGACTTTTTTAATGGTAGACTCTGATCTCATTTGTTTTAATGAATTCATGAATGAAATTCCTGAAATTCTCCTTGATCCACTGATTTTTAAATATTTAAAGATTAATTAATGATGAAGTGGGAGAGAAGATCTTTATAGATTAATATTTACCAACACTTGGTGGGTTGTTTACAGTAAAAAATATTATTTACTTTAGTAGGTTTGCCTTGTAAATGCCCTGTAAATGCCTTGGGATTTACAGGACATTGTGTCTCCTTGATTCCCTGATTTTTAGATATTTAAAGATTAATCAATGATGAAGTGGGAGAGACAGATTTTTTTAGATTAGTAGTTATCAACACTTGATGGGTTATTTACAGGAACAATTATTACATAATTTGGTAGGTTTGAATAGGTTTCTGGATTGTCCTTTGAAAATTTAACTTTTTTAACGGTAGACTCTGATCTCGTTTGTTTTAATGAATTCATGAATGAAATTCGTGAAATTCTCCTTGATCCACTGATTTTTAAATATTTAAAGATTAATTAATGATGAAGTGGGAGAGGGAGATCTTCATAGATTAATATTTACCAACACTTGGTGGGTTGTTTACAGTAAAAAATATTATTTACTTTAGTAGGTTTGCCTTGTAAATGCCCTGTAAATGCCTTGGGATTTACAAGACATTGTGTCTCCTTGATTCCCTGATTTTTAGATATTTAAAGATTAATCAATGATGAAGTGGGAGAGTAAGATTTTTTTAGAATAGTAGTTATCAACACTTGATGGGTTACTTACAGGAACAATTATTACATAATTTGGTAGGTTTGAATAGGTTTCTGGATTGTCCTTTGAAAATTTGACTTTTTTAATGGTAGACTCTGATCTCATTTGTTTTAATGAATTCATGAATGAAATTCCTGAAATTCTCCTTGATCCACTGATTTTTAAATATTTAAAGATTAATTAATGATGAAGTGGGAGAGAAGATCTTTATAGATTAATATTTACCAACACTTGGTGGGTTGTTTACAGTAAAAAATATTATTTACTTTAGTAGGTTTGCCTTGTAAATGCCCTGTAAATGCCTTGGGATTTACAGGACATTGTGTCTCCTTGATTCCCTGATTTTTAGATATTTAAAGATTAATCAATGATGAAGTGGGAGAGACAGATTTTTTTAGATTAGTAGTTATCAACACGTGATGGGTTATTTACAGGAACAATTATTACATAATTTGGTAGGTTTGAACAGGTTTCCGGATTGTTCCTGGGAAAATTGACTTTTTTAATGCTAGACTCCGATCTCGTTTATTTTAATGAATTCATGAATGAAATTCGTGAAATTCTCCTTGATCGATGATGATAATGATGAAGTGGGAGAGGGAGATCTTTATAGATTAATAGTTACCAACACTTGGTGGGTTGTTTCCAGTAAAAATTATTATATACTTCAGTAGGTTTGCCTTGTAAATGTCCCGTAAATGCTTTGTGATAAATTCTCCTTGATCCCCTGATTTTTAGATATTTAAAGGTTAATCAATGAAGAAGTGGCAGAGACAGATTTTTTTAGATTAGTAGTTATCAACTCGTGATAGGTTATTTACAGGAACAATTATTACATAATTTGATAGGTTTGAACAGGTTTCTGGATTGTCCCTGGGAAAAGTGACTTTCATGAATGATTTTAACAGATTCATGTCTTTTGGGAGCAACGAGCGCATCAATGGTGAAAAATCACTTACAATGACACCTGAAGAGAGGGGAGATGAGTGAAAAAATGAAATTTTGATTGCTTTACAAATATTTTGTCATGGGAAAACTTAATTACCCTCTTAATGAAGATTTTTTCGTTTGCATAATTGTAACGCTTATGGATGGAGTCGTCTGTTGAATACAATTATTGTCTCTTGATAAATTCACCCAAACGAATTTATTCTTCAGGTATTCACAGAATAATGAATGCTAAAATAGGAGATGAAAAAAATAAAATTCCCATTGATTCAATAAAATTTGTTTACAGTCTTTTTTGTGGAGAAATCCTTCGGCTCCAAAAGTGGCTCCTGGATAAACTCCTCTCAATCCACTCCATTCTGAGTTATTCACAAAATGATAACAATATCACATCCAAATTATTTCGTAAATATCTCAGAAACGAGTGGATTTAGCGAAATTCGTCACAAGACATAATCACAGAGAATTTCCTTGTCCACAAAAATGATCTTAAAAATTCTCTGAAAAATTCCCCAAACCCCAATAGGGGTTTCCGAAAAATTAAGAAAATAATGGACGTATCTCCGTTCAAGAATTCACTTCGTCATTATCTTGACCATAATACCCATAAATAATGTCCATAATCACCTCATTCTCAGGATCTGGAAACTCCTTTTCAAAAGTCTCAATTTTCCAAGTGATCGAGGCTAATTTACCATTAGCCCTGTGGACCTGAACAATCCCATTGACGTCAATTAATCCATGGTGCTTCGATAAATGTCAGATAGAGTAGGTTAAATGTGGAAAATGTTACATACACTCTGCTCCAAATTCATGATAGCCGACTCCATAGCTGGCTCTTTCGACTCCCCGTTGATTCCAGATATCATGAAGCCTTCGAAACTCGTTAGTTACGGTTAATCACCCCCGAAAAAATTGATAATTCGAGTGATAGCCGGCGGCGAGGGCCGGTTAATAAGTCCACAGCAACAGCCACTCCGATTTCCCTCCTGAGAGAAGCCTCGGCTGCCGTTGGCCGACTGACGTTATTTTCAAACGTCGAGTTGGTGTCTAAAGTCACCGAGGTGCGCCGCCGCTGTCGGAATGCGCCCAAGGCGGCAAATTTCAATTACACCGGGGGTTTTACCTACCCCATTGTCCTCACCACTACCACCGACACTTGATGGCAAATGAACAGGCATTATCTTTTTAATGGCACTGACTATAAAAAGCGGGATTATGATAAAAATAGCATCTGGCGGGTCAGTTTTTTCTGCAACGAATGGGCAAGTTTGCGGAGGCTGAATGCTCTCAATGGACCCCAAGCGTATAAAAGAAAATCGATGGCGGTGAGTGCAAGGAGGCAAAAAACGGGAGAACGAGGTCATGCATTTATAACATATCTGTTTCCTACACTTGATGGAGTGCATGATACATGTACCGGGGATATTTCGCGAATTGTTTCTCGTTTCAAGGCTCGACCCAGATTTTTGATAATAGGGAGGGAGAGGGGAAGATCAAGGATGCATTGAAAAACATCTGTGGGAGGTTTCGAAGGACTTCGTGGTGAAATTTTTTGGTGGGAATTGTGGAGGGAATTTTCGTATAGGGGGGCTTGATTTAGACGGGTGGGAATATTCCTTGAATACGCAAAGTGGTTGGTCTTTACTGCGCGAGAAAATGAAATTTCGTGGATAGTTTAGCTATTGTTTTCGTCTTGCTTTAATATCGCTACAATGTTTTCTTGGCAGAACCCGCACGAAAAAATTTAATAGAAAAACCTCTCGAATTCGCTAGAAAATTCTACACGGAGAGAAGTATTCAGTAAAAATTATGGAACTCACAATTCACTCACCGATTACGGTATCGACTCAGAAAATTTAAGTGACGGTATCGTAATTTTTCACAGGAGATTCAGATAAAAATTAACGTTCCAAAAAAATTCCGTGACGGTTCCGTAAAATTTCCTACACCCACATTTCGCTCCGGAATTACGGAAAAGATACGTAATTTTCATTGAATATTTCTCTCTGTGTATTGAATTTCTATTAAACTTTCTATTAGTTTATGACTGATTCTATTGACATGTTCAATAGCAAACATTCAATGGAAAAAATCATCAGAATTCGATTTGTGTTAATCATTCCTGTGTCAAGAACACAGGATGATTGGCACTTGATGTTCAACACACGCAATGATTTGCAATAAAATGAGCTGATTTGTTTGATGAGGAATTTGTCTAATTTTCAGAATAATTTCACTAATTTCCAGGGACTCGTCTGCAATTTTCAGAGCAATATCACTGATTTTCAGGGTCCCCATTTCTGAAAACTTCCTACTTTTTGAGAATCTATTGCCAAATTCTGGTGATCAAACTCACGGATATTGTATATTACGCAATAATTGGTGATAAATTCCAGAAAATCTGCAATTTATCCCTTAAAATCAGGCCTTTTTTCTCTGCATTCATATGCAAGAGGATATCACGGATCGCTTCTGATTCTGAAACTCGACCCGAATGTCGCAATACAGGAAGAACAACCACAAGACGACAAATAGATACGCTAATTTATTCCCAAATTCTAAACTATTCCCCCAAAATACTATCGCCAACCGGTTCTTCCTTCGTCTATTCCCTTATTTATAACCATTTATTCCGCTATTTCCACTTCTTTACGATAAATCACCCACGTCTCGTATTGAAATTTCGCTGGCCAGGTGTAACAATCACCCCGGAAATATCTATTCCCCGGCCTTCATCACTTATTCCCTCCCGAAATCTTTTTCGATATTCAATTTGGCCAACGAAAGGATCACCAAAGGACACTCCTGAGTAGGTGGCATCACCCCAAGGTCATGTATCCTTATTTGCCAAGGTACATTATCATATGAATAAAAACTGGAGTCAATGACATTTTGAAGATTGTCGACTGTTCAAAGAATTGATTGTGTTTAGTTTGGCGAAGTATTGCGGCAATGTCAAATAGCTGATACACCTTGAGACGAAAAGGCCAGCCTCCCCCTCACAAATTCCATTTCACACATTTTTTTTTTATGATAAATTGCGCGTTTCCGGTGGGCAGGTCACTATCAGTCGTGTCCCCGACACTTCCGCGAGGCAAAAGTCTTGGTATTAATCAGGGGGATTAACCAGACAGGAGAGTATATAAACACAAGACTGCGGAGCTTAAACTTCAGTGATCTGCAAGCACTGTTACCACAGCGTTACAAAATGGATTTCCAAATATTTTCGTTATTCGCGATTTTTTTGATAAATTCGACGACCGCTTGGCCGTTTGCCTGGCGGAGGAACGCGGAGGACAACGATTTGGACAGCTCTAATGAACTACTGACTCACCTGGGGCACTTGGAGGAGAAGATGTTTGGTGTACCGAGCAATGAAACTGGGGCGAAAGTGGCTGGATGGAGCGAGGAGATGGGAATTAATCCGGAGGAGTTGGGCGAATATGCAGAGGGTGATATACTCTTTCCCCTGGGACTCTCGAGAAATGGACTTCTTGCGCAGTCTTCACGGTGGCCCGGGGGAGTCATTCCGTACATGATCAGCCCGTACTTCAGTGAGTTTCAATTTTTACCTTTGGAAATTTGAAACGCTGTAAGAGAATTGGAATTTTATGAAGAGTTTACGATGATATGTGTCAACTCGGGGAGAGAAATCAATAGAAAATTTTAGGGCAGGAGGAAACCTAAAGATAACTTCTTCGCGCGCGCATGATTAGCTAGTGATTTACGCATATTATCTTTGATCATTATGTAGTAATTTATTCATTACATAGGAGATAATGCAAATTTGAGAAATGATCTTTAAAAATTTTCACGAGGAAAAATTCACGTTGTAAGATTTATGAAAGTAGGCGCATGTAACAGCGAATCCGGTCCCATTTTCCAAGTGTAAAAAAGAAACCTTTTGTGCAGAACTGTCCACTAATTTTCATACTTCAGTGACTTTCAATTTTTCCATTTGTAAATTTGAAACACCGTAAGAGAATTGGAATTTCATGAAGAGTTTACACTGATATATGTTAACTCTGGGAGAGAAATCAATAGAAAATTTTAGAGCAGTAGGAAACCTAAAGATAACTTCTTCAAAAATTCAGAAGAATTTTCATTTTTGAAAATCTTGACCGAGTAGGTTTTGCTGAGAAATCAAAATCTATTCTTGCCTTTTATTAGTGTGCACCAAGTGCAGAAAGTCACGTTTTCCCCGCCCGAGGTGGACATGCTTTTTATTGTCACATTTGCAAAAGAAAGTTTGTATTTTGTTTTCCGATGAGCGGAAGGAGAGTGAATACTTTCCACCCTAGGGCGGAAAGTACTCACTTTGCACCCCCTCATCGGGGAGCAAAATACGAACTTTTCGTGCAGGTATGTGGAAAAGTGTTTTTGGCCCCGTGGGAGGTGCTCGCCGAAGGCGAGTGCTGCCCTCCCAAGCGTCAAAGAACACTTTTCCCACGAGCATGAAACACTATTTTTCACCACAATGTGTGAATGAAAAATAGAATACAATTTCACTCTACGCACAAGTGATGAAAAATCCGTTTCTGCTGTTCAGATGCCAATCAGAAAGCATTAATCATGGACGCAATGAACGATTACCACCAAAACACATGCATTCGATTCATCCCCTACGCCGGTGTACAGAGTGATTACATTCGCATAACAGCTGGTAACACCGGTTGTTGGAGTAGCGTTGGGAGGATAGGTGGTGCACAGGACGTTAATCTCCAGGTGCCAGGTTGTGTCACGAAAAAAGGCACTGTTATTCACGAATTGATGCACGCAGTGGGCTTCCTCCACGAGCAGAGTCGCTTCGAACGAGATCAGTTTGTGTCCATCAACTGGCAGAACATCATGCCGGGTAATTTTTTTGTTCCACCTCTGGAACGATTTTTCATGTGATTCTGGCTTATTTTCGCTATCGGATGTTGAATGATATCATCGTTATTTAGGTCGCACCGGGAACTTTGATAAAGCATCGAAAGGCACAACTGACGGGTTCGGAGTGGGATACGATTATGGGAGCGTCATGCATTATTCTGGAAACGCTTTTTCCGTCAATGGACGACCAACGATTGTTCCTAAGGTTTGATATAATTTTTTCAAATATTACACAATATGTATTATAATTAATTAATATATATTATAATTAATTAATATATATTATAATTAATTGATATTTTCGGAAGATGAGAATTTGTTGTATTTTTTTGTCTTCATTCAACCTGGAGGATGATGAGGTGATGAAAAATTGTATCATAAAAATATTAATTTTCTCGTTATTCATTCAAAATTGAAAAGAAACGGATACTCAATTCCATTTTTGGAGTCAAAAGAATATTTCAAAACTGTAAAAGCTCCAAAAATGAGCTTTCACAATGAAAAATGGGTCAATATGGGTTAAAATCTACATGTTTCCAACCCCCTTGCATGTCCCATCATTTATCAAAAGTCGCTCGATAGGTCGACTCAGCCACCTCACACGTTCAAGTTTCAGGGGAATCCCCCATAAATAAAAATATCCCAGTGATCATTGGAGTCGAAGTACCAGAAGAGTAAAATAATTAGCAATTCCCAAATTGAACATGATAATCCTACACAATTTTCGTCGATTTCGATGTTATCTCCAATCTGCTGCATCAAGAACTCCCATGTCCGCACAATAATCTCTTACATTCCACTGAAAATAAACAGACAATGCAGATAAAACTGCGCCAGAAAGTTCATATTGATTTCATTCGTCATCAAAACCAAAAATTTAACTGAATATCTAGAATGAGGTGAATGATCATACCTCTATCGGAACATCTTCAGCGCAAGAGTTGAATCTCTTTAGTTTTATTATTGAATACAATAGTGTATAATCTCTTATTAATGATCCAACAATATTACAACTTGATTGTGTGATCCTCCCAGGAAGGGAATGGCCTTTTGGATCTCATTGGCGAAGTATTCCAGGGGAGAACGAATACTATGCTTGGGCAACGCGAGGGATTCAGTAGACGGGACATCCAGAAGATAAGGAGGATGTACAGGTGCAGCAAACGTCGACGAAGTTACAATTAATTATTGACACGAGATGGCTCATCGGTGATTCTAGGCGTTGGAACAGCTGGGGAACTGTACCAAGGGCCTGGGCTATGCTAAATCCCCTTTTCGAATCATCGAGTGAAGCGTGTGGTGATAGCTGGCCCTTGGAATTCCCTGATAATGACAAAGATTAGTCTTTAGTATGTCTCAGGGCGAGTGCCATGGGGCTTTTAAGGATGTTTGACCAAAACCCACGATATTCACCATAATTTTGATATTCTTATATGCCAGGTTCATGCCTGAGCCACACGTTAGTAATAATCTTAATCCTTCCATCGCGGCATTCCAGTGAGAAATTAATGTCTGAAAATCACTTCTTGTAACGTTACGCTTAGGGAGGAAACGTGACCGTGTGAACTTTGATCGAGATGTTGCGTGGGTTAGACACTCAAGATATTGAAAAAAAAACGACAAGCCATTTACTTTAGACTATGGAGAATCTGTCGGCGGCGAGAACAAGTAGGGGACCGGCCCATAGAGGCGTGATATCTTCGATTGATTTTCGAATTCCTCTAAAAAAACTTGACCGTCATTACGAGTCGAGCAACGCGACAACACCGCACAACAGCTGATCGAGGGCGGTAAAATCGGTGACGATAATTCAGTGCTGGAAGCATATGGACACATATAACACACAAACATTCATCTCACTGTTACAACCCCACTACTAGCCGAAGTGTGCGATGTTGCCCGATCAAAATTCGAATGTTACCACTGCAGTCACAAGTCTTCCGTTATTTATGAACATTTTCTTCAATTGTTGTTTTTGAGACCGGAAAAGTACACCATAACACTTCTATTTTGATGTGATAAATAATTTGTAATTTAAACGGGAATGATTTATTTAGTCAATTTTATTTTTATTGTCAACCAAGTTGTCCACTTGATAGGCTGAACATCCTTAACTCGCGTGGAAGGCGAGGGCTGCCAACCACGCGACTAAAAAACCCCACGGCACTAGTCGTGAACGATATTTTTCCGCAGTGATTTTCACTTTTACGGGTTTGGGGAAGGACCAATGCCAACCACCGGGCGAGAAAGAGTGAAGAGCAGTGCGGAAAATCAATGTCTTAAACCAAATGTTTTTAAGTTGTATCATTGTGTGAATAAAAATTAGTTTTATCGTCAATTCCCACGGATTAACGAGTTTCAATGATAAGGAGCGAGTGGAAAACCCCAGATTGAGGGGGAGCCTACCTGATTAGTAGACCAGAAGCACTCGGTGAACTGCCGGGCTCGATTACATGGATCTGAGAATTCTAGATAATACGATACGATAAGATTTGATTGCTGTATGTAATCAGGCGTGAAAATATTTTATTGGAAGAACCAGCGCATTCGCTAGAAATTTCTAGTGAATTTCTAGAGAATCTCTATTGAAATTATGTTACTTCTGTCACAGGAAATCATTCATAGGAAGGAAAATCGTCAATAGATTTTGAACTTTCGATACAACTTACATTGAAATACATTCTATAGACATTCCTCGCTTTAAGTTTTCTGTATTTCATTTTTTTCCTCTCTTTGAGAAAAGCAAGCGAAACAAATTTGGACAATTTTTACCAAAGAATTTCTATAAGAAATAAAATGAGTTGAATAAAAGCGTAAAAATCTATTGGTTTGTTCTGTCGAATATTGAGATTTGAACATTTTCTATTGGAATAATTCTCAATTTCAATTACAATTTTCAATTTTCAGTTTTTCTTTGAAATTATTTCGTGTATGCTGTGACGACGGAATTAATAGTGGAGGCTGGGGCAAAATGGGCACTTATTACTTTTCTTTCAGTGTTCATAACTCCTCAGGGACCGATTGATCTATTGAGTTCAGTCCGGGCTCAACAGAAAAGGATAAGATTGTACTTGGTAAAGAAAAAAAATTCCATGTTATCAGTAATTCAATGAGGTATTAAAGATCCACCAGAAAGTCTTAAGTGTCCATTTTGCCCCAATCGCGCCTGATCTCACCAGGTTTTGTGCAAATTCGCAACATTATTTCCGTATCGGGTTCGGGGAGCTCAGCACTCAGCATCCATGACTTGATGTTATGAACTTTGAAGCTGCCGTGACGATCCATCTGCAAAATTTTTCATTCACACGGTGAACTGATATCATCTCATTGTGAGTTGGATTGATTGATTGTAATTTGTGGATTGTTTATTTTTTAATGCAATTTTTTCCGTAATAAGAGATGCAAGAACAACATGTTACGAATAACGGAAAAAATTTAATTTAATTTAATTGAAATTAAAATTAGATTTTTGATATCATCTGAGTTTGATTGATTGATTTTAATTGGTGGAGTGTTTATTTGTATGCAATTTATTCCGTAATAAGAGATGCGAGAGCAACATGTTGTGCAAGATTTTTCATAACGGAAAAAATTTACGATTGAATAATAATTCTCGATTAAGCGGAAACTACTATGTTTTAAAAGTCGCGGGTTACTGGAATGAGATTTCTCATACATTGGAGATCGAGTATATGTATAAAAACGAATAATTAATGCAAAAAAATTAATTGTTTATTGGTCGTTTTCCCCACAGACGTTTAAAATGTTGAAAATAGTTTAGGGCCTTCAATTCTTGAGCTACAAAGGTTTTTTTTTTCAAAATTTAAAAAAAAGTGTGGAGTAACAATTACGAATTAGTTTTTTCAAATCCCACTCCCACACAGGTAATTTCGTTATTTTATAGTAGTCTCCTCTTAAAAGAGTCTTTTGACAATTTCATCGTAATTTTGTCAATAAGATTTGTTGAAGTTCGACACATGACGAAAGGGAACGAAAAATCAAACGCTTTTCTAGGGAATTGTATTGAATTTCTATAGGGATTCAATTTTTTAATAAATATTTTTCTAGAAAAATGTCAATAGATATTGATTTTTGTACACGACTCATGTTGCGTTTTTTTCCAAAAGAACTCTTGCATATGGATTTTCTAATTTTTATTCTTGCCTTTTGCAATGAGATGCTGAACAAAATACGGCAGAAAAACTTGAAAAATTGAAGCTCAATTCCGAAAGAATTTCAAAATAATTGTAAAGGAATTTGAATAGAATTTACCAACAACACGGAGAGAAATATTCAATAAAAATTACGTATCTTTTCCGTAATTCCGGAGCAAAATGTGGTTGTAGGAAATTTTACGGAACTGCCACGAAATTTTTCCCGAGCGTTCCGTAATTTTTATCTGAATCTCCTGTGAAAACGTACGATACCGTCACTTAAATTTTCTGAGTCGATTCCGTAATCGATGAGCGAATTATGAGTTCCGTAATTTTAACTGAACATTTCTTTCCGTGAAAAACGCCGGAATTTCCCAACAATTTTTCGATTGAACTTTTTATACTATTCAAATTTCTATAAATCACTCACCCAATGATGTTCACTGTAGATGCATAACAAGAAGCACTGCAATCACAAATTAATTGACAATCAGCCCAAAACTCACATTTGTTCTTAACGAATTTGAATGTACATCTCTTTAATTTCATTCATTCTGTTCTTTTCAACGATTAATCTCCCATTGTGTTGCTTTCACAATGATGCTTACAGCGAGTTCATGCTGGGCCTGATTCTCCAAGTGATTAAAGTTGTGATGCATCATGTAGTCATTGAATATGTGTACGTCAATGGGGTCGCTGGCATTGCAGATACGAACGATCGCGATATCCTCCCTGATTGCCTGAAATTCTTTCCTCATTATTGATCAGCCTCTATCGCTTATCTGTACTAGATCAATTCACTACGTATAATTTCGTTGATTTCTCAAGAGGTACTTACGCTTGATGAACTGAGATTCAGGATCGCTCCACACAGTAAAATTCGTCCTATGAGTTTTTCCATTTTTAAATAGATAGAATTTAAGTTAGAAGTAATCGGTAATAAATTAATGATACTTTGGTTTAATACTTGTGATCTTCACTCTTGAATGGGTAAAGCACGACTGACTCGCGCGCAATCCCTCAAGTGCCTGATAAACGGAATTCAAGAGTCGATGCGCGTGGCTGATGATAACGTTCCAGCAACTTCCTAGAAATTGCGTTGTCCGATCGATTAAAAACCCCCAATATATTACGATAAATCAAGTCAATGATATACAACAAACATATTTACAAATGATCTACTGTTTATTTTATCTCTTATCTGCATTCTTTTTTCGTTCTAAACTTATGTGGTAACTACATACACGGACTTGTACAATCGATGAATAATCTCTAGTAAAAAATGGAAGAGTTTGATTCTTACTTCAACCGATGATCTATCGGAATATCAATGAGTGTTTGAATCCACTGTTTCGTAGTTGGACGGAAAACACTGATTTAATCACAATCACTGGAGTATTCTCGATTGATTTATGCTCAATCTAGTGGTGAGATGATGAAAGGATGAGCCGAAATGAACACTGAGAGAAAATTAGTAGCGAAGTGGTAAAACGGTTCAAGTCGATTTAGCCCTTAGCTGAGTTTTAGCGGAAAATCTCCGAATCTAAGAGAGATACCAAAATTTTCATAATCACCTTTTTTATAGCACTCAATTCGCTCTACAAAAAAGATCATGACAAAAATTTTGCTATCTCCCCTAGATTCCGAGAAATTCATTGAAAACTGGCCAATAGTTGAAATCGGCTGAGCCATTTTGCTGCTTTGCTACTGGAATTTCCCCTGTAATTTCAATCGTGGCATTTGGTTCTATAAAAAATATTCATCAATCCCTCATGACCCAATCCACGTTCTCTTGATGAAATCAGCAGCCCGTTCCCCGATCATAATAGCAGGTGCATTAGTGTTGCCCGAGGTGACCCTGGGCATAATACTAGTGTCAGCGACTCGCACCCCACGCACCCCCCTGACCCTCAGCTGATTATCAACCACCGCCAGAGGATCACTATCAGGGCCCATTTTGCAGGAGCCAGCCTGATGATTCTCCGGCGCAGTATCGTGTTTAATAGCGCACTCCCAGTACGCGTCACACCCGAATTTCAGGTTTTCACAGCCCTTGACCGGTGTTTTGTCCAGCTCAAAGGCATATCGCGACAGCGTGCGGGTTTGCGCGAGTCTTATGGAGAACTTAATGCCCTCGATGAGGCCTCCCACGTCGTCCGGATGAGTCAGATACTTCGGGAAGATCAGGGGCTTCGATAGTGGATTATTGTCTTTTAAACGGAGGTACCCACGACTCTTGGGGTGGAGGAGTGTTGGGATTATGTAAATACTCCTCTTTCCTCCCTTCTTCTCTCCCACCATCCCCGTTTCAGCGCAGTCTGCTAGATATCCACCGAAGATCAATTGAATGTCCGGGTGGTCCTCCTGGGGATTTGCGTATTTGGTATTTATCATTGCAGTCACCTCCGAGATACCTGGGAAATCGAAATGTGGCTTTGATTTTGGCGTAGGTGGATGATGATGAGATTAGTCGGGATTTCTAATGCAGGAGATGAACAATATCTTGCGGAATTTCGAGGAGTGATACACAGTTCACAGAATTGTTTTAATGAGATTATGGGTACGTAACGAATCGACATGCAGAGTGCTAGGAAGAGTAATGTAAACATAAACAATGACGTTGTAAGGCAACAGAACTGAGAGTTATTCGTCACCAGCGGAGGAAACGTACAGACGTTTCAGCCTCGTGCGATACTAATAAAGTAAAAGTCAAGTTTAGTTTCCTGCGTTTATCAATTATTTATTCACCCATTTCCATTAGAATTCAGTGGGTTTAAGTCGGAGTAAAACACAAATTGCGATTTTTTTTAACCCTCCGTTGGTCGCGCTGTGAGCGTCGCGCCGCACTTTTTCCAATTTTTTAAATTATGCTGCAGTAAAGTCTCAGAAAAATTTGAAAATAATTGACATCTCATTGTGAAGTGTCTAGAAGCCCTATCAATGAAAATGTCCACTAAAAATATAATTGGTAGTTCGATTTTTACTTTTCTATTCCGAAACTCCGGGCCGTGTACTGTGTATAAGGCAAATTTTCAGAAAAACATGGCAAATTTGAGCTTGAATATACGATTAAGGGTAACACGGAATATAAAAAATCTCACGAGATTTCTTCAAGTATACGATCTAGATCACTCTTGATTTTTTTCAGATTTTTCCTAGATCTTTCAAATTTATCATTATGTCGATTTATGCTGATGGGGCGCGATTAACGGAGTGTTAACCCTAGTCTGATCCCCAAACGCGACCTTGCGATTGGTCACCTCCGCGGGGATTCCCCGCCGTGTTATTTAGGCTTTAGCGTTGTCGAATTCACTCTACACTGCTCGGGCGCGTTTAGCGAATTTTCGGCAACGTCGCGTCATGGTCAATTTCATTTAACATAGGAAAAAATAATTCATCTGTCCAAAATAATTTGTTTTCTTTAGGAACTTTGGGAACTATGTTGCTCTAAAAAGTACTATAAATTTTTAGACACTTCAGTTGACAAAGTCACATTTTTTAAAATTTTTCCGGTTAGCCAGTCAATTGTAATTAAAGAAGAACGACGCGCGGCGGGGTCCCCTCATAGGGTGACCAATCTAGGGTTAAAGGAATTTTTGGGGATTAGATTTGCCAAATTTCGATTCTTGATTTCTGCAGTGAGCAAATTAGACACATCACAGCAGGAAAACTTGATAAAATTGAAGGGTTTTATACGAAAATCACAACATAAGAATTCCAAAGGATTTTCAAAGGAATACTAATGGAATTTGAATAGAATCTCTTATTGAAGACACTAGGTTTTCCCATCGAAATTTTACACTGTTCAAATTTCCTGAAATCATGATCCCTGAGAAGTAGAAATGTGGTTTTGGTTTTTGCAAAAATCTCAACAGAAGAAATTCCGGAGGAATTCCCAAAGAATACTAATGGCATTTGAATGGAATCTTCCAAGTTTTATTTCTGTTTCCCATGATCCCTGGGAAATAGAAACGCGGTTTTGGTTTTTGCGTAGGTGTAAGATGACGAGATTAGTCGGGATTTGTGCGGCAGGCGATGAAAAATATCTTGCAAAATTTCTAGTAGTGATACACACAACAAAGGAATTCATTGGGTTCAAATCGGAATAAAACACCAATTGCATCACAAAGTCACATCAGTCACGAACCGAGATATTGCGCAATGCGCTTTCTCTGAGATATTCTCACACTGCTGAAAAGGGAATAATGGAGAAGGTTGATGGGTAAGGACGTATCTGGGGTGGTGATTTCAGCGCTGATGGTTGAATTTACGTAGGAGAGCATAGAAGAATGATTAAATCAATATAGGAGATTAAATCCAAGCGGTTGAACAAGAGTGAAATCCTAATCTAGGAGAGATGGTGAAATTTTTCTGAGAGGTTTTTTTATTGCCTCTGACTTTTCATCATCCATTGATGATTGATTTCATGATCCATTGATCCATTGATATTTGCAATTGATATTTGCTTGAAAAAAGATGATCGGAAAGTGAAGCTTTGAATGTTAGAATACCATTAAATCATTTTGGTTTAAGGCGATACGTCGGTGAAATTTAAACGTCTTCACTGGGTCTTGGCACCCATTGAACAGTTTATGATATATGAGGGAATATGGGAATAACTAACAACGAACCTGATCGTTTTTGCCCCGTGTAACCACGAAAAACTTCTTTTTTTTGCTGCTTTACCTTCAAAATGCTCCTTGCGCCGCAATTTTCATACGATTTTAGCTTTCTTCTTTTTAAAATGTTCGTTACACTCCAAAGAATAAAGTTAAACATCGATTTTACTTTATTCTCAATAGATCATGAATAAATGAATTTTGATTTTCATAAATTTTTCGCGTCTCCAGAGTAGGACTAAAAATTCATTATTTTTAGTCATTTTTACGAACAAAAAAAATGGCAGATTGAAGCAAAAAAGCGGGTTCAAAAGACAATTTGTCAAGTTCGAAGAAGAGTTCGGTCGATAACGTCAACCAAGACAGCGACTCAGATAGTTCAGTCCAGTTTTTACGGCCATATAGTGAAATTAATTGCATTTTTATCAAATTCGAAGTTCATTTATACATGATCTATTGCGAATAAAGTAAAACTGACGCTTAACTGTTTTCTCGCGATTTTCTCTTCTCTAGTTATTCCCATATTCCGTCATATATCATGAACTGTTCAATGGGTTTCACCGACGTATCCCCTTGACATTTTGTCGGTCAATTTGTTTTCTCACCAGTTCCTGACATGAGGCCATCTCTGAACAACAAGTACTCCATTGCTGTTGCCCAATTGAGGGGTGTTGTGTCGGTATCGTTGATTGTGAAGGCTAAGGCGTAAGCAACATGATTGTGGAGATTTTTTCCGACCCCGGGTAAATGCTGAACTGCCGGGACTCCGACAGCTGAGAGCTCGTCTCTCGGTCCAATGCCACTGTTCAATAGAATTTGGGGGGAATTGACGGCACCTGGAAATTTTGTGGTGAAACTAATTCTAATTCGAAAAGTTTATTGAATTATACAAAAAGGAAATAATTCTTAATAGTTTTTCGGGAAAAAATATTTTGTGTTTTTATATGCAGAATCAATGAATGCCCTGATGAAGAACATTTTGTGTGTTCGAAATATTGGCAAATAGCGAAAGAATTGTTTTTCTCTCAATTCTTTCATTTGCTTCAATTCTATTTAAAATTGCTGTTATGACCGTTAATGGCTGGAGGAGCGGCAGTTTTTGAAGAGGAATTGAAAGCATTTGATTCCTTGGGCAGGATTCCTTACACAACTTTATGTTTAATTGAGAATTTTGAATGAAGGATAATTCTTTTTCCGTGCTGCTTCTCATTTTTCCCAGTCCGGGGATTGGTATTAGCCCTTCCCAAAATTCGTAAAAGTGAAAATCACTACGGAAAAGTTTCGTTCACGACTAGTGTGATGGGGTTTTTTTAGTCGCGTGGTTGGCCAGTTCCCGCCAACTCCCCGCGAGTAAAAAACCCTATGGCACTCGTCCTGAAATATACTATTTCTTTGGTGCAACAATGTTGTGCTTTATTCATGCATTTTTTAGTCTTCGGCCAGAGAATGGCTCGAGAAATGAAGCGCTATTGCTATTGCTAGAAAATTCCGCTCAAATTAAAAATACAAAATCTTGAAGTTTTTAGCAACAAATAATTCACAGGAAATTTACAATTCTTTTTAGAATAAAATTGGCTTAAACTCTTTGACAACTGAAATTCGAATAAAAAACAGTTCTCAAATGAAGTAGAATGCTCTACGTTAGAAAAATATGAAAGAACGGAAAAACCCTCAATTCAGGAATGTACCGTATTCGACTCAAGATTTTTTATAATTGAAATTTCGACGCCTTCATTACCTCCACTGACGACCACCTCTTTGCGGACATTGACACGATGCAGTTGATCGTCGTGGACAAATTCAACTGCAACAGCCTGTTTATTCTGGTCAAACAGGATCCTCGTGGCTGTTGAATTTAGCATAACGTGGAGATTTCGACGATTACGAGCTGGCCGGAGGAATGCTCGTGATGTTGACAGTCTCGAACCGTTTCTCGATGTCGTCTGAGCTATCATGAACCCGGTATGGCTTCTTCCATTCAAATCCACGGCTTTGTACCCTGTGTAGGCGGAGAACCAATAGTGAGGACTCGTGAATACTTAATGTAGCGGTGAAAAAGGTTTGATTTTCAGAGACATGTCCCTGATTTTTAGGAATCGATTACCTATTATTGGTGGTACTGGACAATAACTACACGGAGAGAAAAAATTAGCTCTACCGAAAAACTATGTTCCACGTGAGAGTATTATAGGAAAATTCAGGGATCCTCAACAATATTAAATTTCTGTAATATTACTAGAATTTGAACATTACATTAATGAAGGTTTAAAATATGTTGATCCGATTTTTCAAATAATGTAATGTTAGTCATCGAATTTTTTACGAATAATGATGTATTTAAAATTTGTTAATATGAAACTGCAAATTTACTACTAAATGAATAATTCAAATTTCTTAAAAAGGGATTGTCGATTACACAAATAATCATCAATCTTCTTACCTCAATTATTGATTGATAAAATAGTTGAAAATTTGAATATTTGAATTGATGATACTTAGGTATTCAAAAAATTCAAGAGTGATATTATCTAATTGATGGCTACAATATTTAACCGTAATGAAATATTACAAATTTGGCTATCCCTGGGAAAATTAGCCATCTTGATAGGAAGAAATTTAATGTCTTTCATAAAAATCGTTTTTTGTCATGATCATCAGAAATATCCCTAGAAGAATTCAATATAATCTATTGTACGACAATCATTTGATCTACGAGAACTCCACAGGTTTATACCATAGAAAGAATACATTGACGAGGAAAAAATATTTTTAAAAAAATTGTCCCCTCGAAATTATGAGTGGTTATTGGACAATTCACTCGTTCAAATCTGAGCCTGATACAATTCTCTGCACAACGACTGTATTACCCGGAAGACAAATAAATGTTTTGGTGGAAACTTTCTTTTTTGTCCACAATGCAATTAATCCCACACGAGGACGGATCTCTTCAGAGGAACAAATAATTAATCAAGTGATTAATTAATAAATAAAATAGAATAAAAATGTCTAGCAAATTCGCTAGGTTTTCCCTATGGAATTTATTCCACACGTTAAATTGGTGACAAAATCACTGAATTCCAATCACAATCGCGAGTTCCTAATAATTCAGAGGTATCCACACGGGAACAAAAATTCAATAAAAATTACCAGAAAAAAAACGTCAAAATTACGTTTCGAAACGGAATCCACGAGTGAAGTAACATTCAATAAAAAGTGTGAGTCGGAACTGAAATTGTACGAATCGCCACGTAAATTCTACGATTTGTTCCGTAAAAATTAACCAGCCGTCTGATGACTCACCGCTGTGGGGACAACAAATCGTTCCGTAATTTTTCCCCAACGATTGAGAAATTTTCCGGAACGGAACGTAGAAATAACTCACCAGCTTCATAAAAATTGTTAAACGTCCAAGAATTTTTTATTTTGGAGGCATAATAAGTCGGCAAGTTTCTGTAAGATTTTACTTCTTCGGAAAAAATTACGTGACAATTTGGTACGTTGTTCGGTGATGTACCTGAAAATTCACTGAACTTTCAGATTTCTTCTCTTCCATTCCTATAAAAATTGGCGTAAAACGATTCCCCATTGCGGATTACGTGAATTGTTTCGTAATTTTTCCTGAATATTTCTCTCCGTGCATCTCTGAAAATCAGTGTCAGTTTTGTGGAGTTGAATTTTTTCCTCTACGAATGACTTTTTAATTGCATAATTCTCTAATCAACTGTTTCAATCAATTGAATTACCCAGCTCTCGGCCGGCGTCGACAAGGGCCCGACTGAGAGGTGGATGGTAAGGGAAATGCGTCACGGTTAATGGGCCTCCGGTGGAGTGATAGCCGTAGTCCATGTCATTGATCTGGGCATTGTCTTCGCTACGCAAGAAATATGGTAATACATCCTGGTAGGACCAGCCGGCATTACCCAAGCGAGCCCAGTCATCATAATCTTTCCGGGATCCTCTCATGTACGTCATTCCGTTCATTACACTGGTTCCACCAAGAACCTTGAAGCAAATTGGTAATATCGCAAGATTAGAGGATCAATTTTTTCCATTCAGCTCTGACTGCTGAGATTATCTTCTTGTTGAATATCTCGGAATTGGCGAGAGAGACCGAACTTCGAATGAATTTTTTTCGAATCTTTGTGAAGAATTGAATTCTGTTTGGTGGCAATCTATGGAGCTTATTAAAGTCTACATTCAGGGGAAAATTCGGACTTTTTAGATCGTAATTAGTTACCCTGCCACAAAAAATTAGAAACTAAAATTTGAACGATTGCAAAGCTCTAATTCTTCCTTTTTTGAACTTTTTAAACTTCTTTTAAACTTTTTAAACTTCTTCAACTACAAAAGCTCTCATTCTTCAAAGAAAAAAGGTAACAATTAACAAACAAATTCTCTTTTTTAGAGAGTCACGTAACAATTACGTCTCAAGAAGTAATTTTTTCCGTGTTGTTAAGGGTTGATTCAGTGTGCATAAAGCATATTTACCTTTCCCCTCGGCCAGTAACACTTTCTGTTCTCTTTATTGAGGCACGCCTCCTCCTCGGGCTCGGTATTGTACTTCCAATCGATGTCGCTTCCCAAAAAATTGAAGAAAAATGAGGGAATCTGCGTACCAGTGGGCTCATCCATGCCTGCCTCCACCAATAAAACTGAAAAACTCGGCTCCTCCGAGAGTCTAGCTGCCACCGTGGCACCTCCACTTCCTCCCCCAATGACAACAAAATCATAACTGCGCAAATAAGCATAGAAATGAGATTTAATAATCATCTCAATAGCGATGCGGTGAAGCGTAAGTCGATTTGTCACATCTCATTAGTTATTTAATTAACTCAATAAGTATTTATTTGAGGGGAAATATAGAACATTTTTCATTGCAATCTTATTCAGAAAGAAAAAAATCGCTCAACATTTTTTCGGAAATTAATCTCATTCATTGAAGAACAATTAATTACAATTTATCAATTCGTTATTGATATTGTTGCCCTGACGTTTGGCTGCCACCTTAGCTAATAGTGTCCTTTACCAATAATAACAAAATGATAATTGATGAAGTGGAAACTAGAAATGGAGAAAATCAAGTAGACAAAGACAAATAAACACGGGAATGGGATTCAATAATTAAAGTTCGATAATATCCCATCGAATTGGTGAAGCATAATGAATCGATTTGTCACATCTCATTAGTTATTTAATAAACTCAATAAGTATTTATTTGAGGAGGAAATATAAGACATTCTTCATTGCAATCTTATTCAAGAAAAAAATCCTTCGACATTTTCTCCGAAAATTAATCTCATTCGTTGGAGAATTACAAATCACAATTTATCAATTCATTATTGATATTGTCGCCCTGACGTCTGGCTGCCACCTCAGTACCTCAATTTGCTTTACCAATAATAACAAAATGATAATTGATGAAGTGGAAACTAGAAATGGAGAAAATCAAGTAGACAAAGACAAATAAACACGGGAATGGGATTCAATAATTAATGTTCGATAATATCCCATCGAATTGGTGAAGCATAATGAATCGATTTGTCACATCTCATTAGTTATTTAATTAACTCAATAAGTATTTATTTGAGGAGGAAATATAAGACATTCTTCATTGCAATCTTATTCAAGAAAAAAATCCTTCGACATTTTCTCCGAAAATTAATCTCATTCGTTGGAGAATTACAAATCACAATTTATCAATTCATTATTGATATTGTCGCCCTGACGTCTGGCTGCCACCTCAGTACCTCAATTTGCTTTACCAATAATAACAAAATGATAATTGATGAAGTGGAAACTAGAAATGGAGAAAATCAAGTAGACAAAGACAAATAAACACGGGAATGGGATTCAATAATTAATGTTCGATAATATCCCATCGAATTGGTGAAGCATAATAAATCGATTTGTCACATTTCATTAGTTATTTAATTAACTCAATAAGTATTTACTTGGGGGGGGGGGGGGGGGTTGAATATAGGCCATCCTTCATTGCAATTTTATTCAGAAAAAAAAAACCTTCGACACTTTTTCCGGAAATTAGTCTCATTCATTGAAAAATAATTAATTACAATTTATCAAGGCAAATAAACACGGGAATGAGATTGAATAATTAAAGTTTCATAATATCTCACGTAATCAGTGGCGCATAATAATGCGATGTTTCCCATCTCACCAGTTATTCAATTATCGCAAAAGCGATTAATCTGAGGAGAAGAATCAAAGGACATTTCCTGAATTCATCCAAAAACTGATTACGATTTATCACTCCGCCATTGATATTATTTCGTGAGAAACAAGTTCAGAGAAAATGCATCTCACTGGAGCAATCGTTCATCGTTGAAAAACCTCAAGTGTATTTTTTAACCTGAAGACGATTCACCCTAGATAGCTATTCCACGTCCCCGAATGCTCAGATATGAATACAAATTTATGTCTCTTCGTGGGATGCAGCGAAAGGGGTACGGATCCACGAAACCAGATTATCTATTTTTCCCAATAATATTTGTGAATCACGAAGTGAAAGTCCCTGAAAGTTTGAGAATTGTAATCGCATCTGTGGCACGATCTTGATTTCTTGATTGTAATTACGACATTACAAAGCCCCAGGCCAATCGGGAATATTGAACCGACTTAGCCCGGGGGAGAGTCTATTGGGCTGTTTTGCGCAATGGAAAATTAGCATTCATGATTGAAGAGGGAAAACTCGACTTATCATCGGCTGAAATGAGATTGGAAGAGAATTATAGCGTTCAGGATTGTGACAGGGGGAAATATCGTTTGGCATATATGCCAAGGTAAATATATTTCACTGAGATGTTATTTATGGAGCAGCAGGTAGGAAAACATTCAATAGAAAACCTAGCGAATTTGCTAGAAAATTCTATTGGAATTCTGTGGGAATTCCATGAGGTTTCGATAGGATTTCTATTGGAATTCTATTGAAAAATTCTATTTGTTTTTTGCGCTGATCTTGTTGGATATTCGATGAGAAAAACTCAACAGATTGCGAATTTCTATTTTCTATCTATTTTTCTCTTGAGATTTTTTCTATAAGAATGATTGGGCATCAATTTTCGAAGTTTTTTCCACTGGGATTCTATCATACAAAACAAAAAATCGAGCGGAAAAAACTTGAAAAATTTGTGCTCAATAATTCTAATAGAAAAAATCTCAGGAGAAAAATTCGAACAGAAATTCAAAATATATTGACTTTTTCCTAACAACATAATTCATATGGCACACTCACATTCACTTTATACTCATATTTGCCAGAAAAGGTTTTTCAGCCTAATGACGAAACATACTATTTGGCCCATGCACTGATAGAATTCATTTATTCCAAACGAGATTCGTTAACTATTAACAAATGGTAGAGTTGAATATGACCAACTGAATATTCGTTAATAGTTAATGGTTCACTTGAATGGCGAAAGTCAAGTCAAACAAGGCTCCTCAAATATACATTCGTTAACTATTAACGANAAACGAGCTTCGTTAACTAGTAACGAATGGTAGAGTTGAATATGACCAGATAAATATTCGTTAATAGTTAACGAATGGTTCACTTGAAAGGTGAAAGTTGAGTCAAACAAGGCTCCTCAAATATGCATTTGTTAACTATTAACGAATGAACATTTGGTGAGACCGAATAGACTCTAGCTTCCCCCCAAACCTGTGTAAACCCTATTTTTCATCACGATGTGCGGAAAGCGGGATTTTCACACACAAACCGTGCGTAGAATTTCATTTTACCCACAAGTGATGAAAATTTCAATTTTCTTCTAAAAGTGCACCTCTTGATACCTTAAGTCGACACGAGGCGGCGGCTGCGGCCGGTTGCAGGGGTCCTCGAGGTCACACTGGCTCCGCAGGAAGACCTCGAGGAGTCCCATAAATAGCATAAACGAAGGCCCACCGCAGGTCGACGCCAGGGTGGGACCCGGCGCCGTTGTCAGTGGACACTGGCAGCTCATTCTGAAAATGTAAAATATAACATAAAATATCTTTTTATTTAATGTGCATTTAATTATGTTAAAAACATTAAAAATTTCGTTTCGAAAACAGAAAATAGGGGAGGGTGGGGTAAAACGGACACTTTTGACTTTTTTTTTAATGTTAATGAGGGGTTGAAATGTTGATGAAATTTAATAATTTTTTTTCGATACAGAGAACGATTCTTTCCCTTGTGATGAGCCTAAGCTGAGCTCAATTGATAAATTTGTTTCTGAGTTATAAATTATTTTTAAAAAGTTTAAAGTGTCCATTTTACCCCACCCTCCCCTACACAAAATTAAGAATGAGTGGAAAATGTATTTGGAATGTTTGAATTTTTTCATCTTAAATGTCAACCTACTATGGATTTATTCAATGACAGAAAATAATGAGTTCTCCGCAATTTCATTATTCATCACTTCATAAAACTGTAATGACACGTTTCTACGGTTTACGTTTGTGCTATTGCTTTCTACTTTACTGCCTCGACTTCTTCCTCTTTATTCCGGTGGTACGTTTAACAATCTGCGAAGTGTATAAAAAGGCAACATTTTTATGTCAGCCGTTGGTTCTCTTGTATAATGGAGTGATGTTATGTGTGCAGGCATGAACGATTTTCACAGAAAAAAACCTAGCGAATTCGAGCAGAAATTCTATCGGATTTCCATTGAAATCCAACAGAATTTTTCACTATGCTTTTGGCCAAGCCTATCGAAGAATTTCGCTGCTTTACTGCACTTTTTTTATACGAAATGTTGAATGAAAATTATTGTATAGAAAAAAATCTGTAGAATTTCATCTCTCCACACAACTTTCTATGCGAATTTTCTGTAGGAATTGCTCGATATCAATTTTCCAAGTTTTTTCCACTCTATTTTTATTTGTTTCGCACGACAGAATTCAAGAAAAAAAAATGAGAAGAATCTTGTATAAAAATATCAAGGTCTACTCGGAGAGAAATGTTCAGTAAAAATTACGGAACTCACGATTCACTCATCGATTACGAAATCGACTTAGAAAATTTAAGTGACGGTATCGTAATTTTTCACACGAGATTTAGATAAAAATTACGGAACGCCCCGGAAAAATTCCGTGACAGTTCCGTAAAATTTCCTACAACCACATTTCGCTCCGGAATTAAGGAAAAGATACGTAATTTTTATTGAATATTTCTCTCCATTTATCGATATTTTTCCATAACCTAGGGTATCTTGCACGCTCGGCGCGCTATAAATATAGTCATTGAGCCTTATAATTTTTTTCTGTAAAAAATCCATTCTCTAAACATTCCGTGCAATTTTTCAAAAAGGAACATTTATTTATATATTTAAAAACGCGGAGGGACGTAGTATGTTTTTCAATAGATTTTTTTTTCTCTTGTATACCCTTTCAGATTTTTACGATTTGTTCCCTTCCCACCCCCCAACCCCCTGTACCGCATTTGCCGAAGGACCAAATCGCTCATTTGAGGTCTTTCCCTCATTTGAGGGAAAAACCTGCCCAGGTACAGTCGGCTCTTGCGATACTTCCGTTCGACAATGAAACCGTGAGATTTAGAGTGTCACAAATTTTTGTTTTTCAATAGAATTGATGCAGAAAACAAATAGAATAGAATCTTCCAATAGAATTCTAATAGAACTCCAATAGAATGGCTTAGAAAAAGCGCTAGGTTTTTTCTATGAAATTTCTCATACGCGATTCGCTGGAATTTGTCCATACAATTTTTGTGTACGTGTTTCCTGACTCGATGAAATTTTTTTTGTCCGATTAATTTGGTGTTTTTTTTTTGGCCATTTGATTGAGAACTGACGACGATCGTTTGACCCCCCGGTGCGAACCTTGGGACACCATTTGGTCTGATCCGCGTGTTCACTTGCATGAGACTTTGTAACACCGTTACGTTCACTGACCGACAACAGTAGAGCCCCGCGAATCACGGTAATCTCAAATGGTAATACGTCCTCGTGGAAGATTATTAGATCTCCGCCCATCAATTTTTTTCCTTTTACGAGTGCCTTCAATCATTCACGCGGAAATGAATCTCCACTTGGGATTGTGGTAATGTCTTCGGTCAAGGATTTTTCCATCCTCGATTCAAGTTCACGTTATTGTACACTGAGAATAAAAATTATTTTTGCCAAATATTTATTTACTTGAGAGAAGCATTTATTTTTACAAAATCGTATTTTTCCTATTGACGAATGCTGAGGTGACCCTGAATAGGTTTCAATTATGATGATCATGTTGCTCTAGAGGATGGCCATGTTGCATTTGACCTTGGATGAACTTCTCGACTGCTTATTCATTTTTCCTAAATTTCTTATTTTCTAGAGCGAAGAATTTCGATGAATTTTTTAATGTTGATAATTATTGAGGGAGTGCACTCAAAGTGATAACTAACATGCTCATCTTCTGAAGCAATATAATTGGCATAATTGGCACCTAATGAGGATTGCCTGGGAATGACTCGACTGGAGAAATACGGCATCGAAAAAATAAATACTTCTCTCAAGTAAATGGATGTTTGGCAAAAATAATTTTTTTTCTCAGTGTAGAACCTTCATTGACAATGCTTTTTACATGAGAATACAGTTGTTTCTCCATTTGGGACGAACATTATTTTATTTTCGATTAATCATTGAATTCAGTTTAAAATACATCGTCCTAAAAATTCCATTCGTAAGCGAATTGCTAATCTATTAACGAAAATATATCGAAAATATATTGTATTATGGCCGAATAATCAATTAGTGAGAAACGAAACGGGTAAACAGAAATTTCGGCAAAAATAAATTGACTATGTTGCGACGAATGAAATTTCGATTTTTTTTCTCACTGTAAGATATTTTTTTCTTGTCAATTTTTGAGGCACGAGTTTTTTGATACAAGTGGAGACGCACTTCTCAAACAAAAAATTCTCAGTGCAGTCATGCATTCCATAACTGCGCATTTTAAAGAGCTTAATCATAATTGATCACAATTTCAGTCTTACAAGGTTTTTTTCGTGGACTTATAGCCGTATCCATAACTTATAATTACCATTAAATTATTAAGTAGTCAATTCGTTAATATCACTCTTAAATTTTAATGATTGAAGTAATCATCAATTTAAATATTCAAATCCGTAATTTCCCATTTTTTGTGTCAGGACAACTAATTTTCGGCTCAGGAGTTCGAGTATGCTGTTTTAGTGTGTATGTGACCTATCGTTTTTCGACGATAACTGAAAAAATAATTGTTTAAATGAATTCAATTGTGATTTAAAATTGATTGATGTATTATCTGTTGTTTGAAAAATTGATTTTGAAACAAATATTCAGGGAAAGGTAAAAATTTCAACGTCGGGGCAATGCTGGTGGCGAATGTTGTGGTAATATTGGCTAATCATTTAATTCAATTTAAAATACATTGTCCTAAAAATTCCATTCGTAAGCAAACTGCTAATTATCAAAAATATATATTTATTATAACCTAATAATCAATTAGTAAGATAGAAATTTCGGCAAAAATATGTCGACGATATTGTGACGAACAAAATTTCCAACTTGTTTTTTGTCAGTGTAATGATACAAGTGGAGACATACTTCTCAAAAAAAAATTCTCAGTGCACGGAGAGAAATATTCAAGAAAAATTACGGAACATTTCACGTAATCCGCAAGCGAGAATCGTTTTCAGTGAATTTCTATAGGAATATAAGAGAATAAATCTGAAACGTTCAGTAAATTTTCGGGTCTGTCACCGAAAAAATACGAAAAAGTCACGTAATTTTTCTGGAAGTTGTAAAATCTAACAGAAACTTCAAGACTTATTATGCCTCAGAACATGAAAATTCTTGGATGTTTAAGAATTTTTACGAAAAGTTCCGGAAAAATTACGGAACGTGTTGTTAAAATCTCCCCCTCACGGTGACTCATGGCTAGCCGTGAGGCGTCGGACGGATGAGTAATTTTTACGGAACAGATCGTAGAATTTACGTGAAGATTGGCACTTTTTATTGAATTTTACTTCGCTCCCAGATTACGTTTCGAAACGTAATTTTTACGTCTTTTTTCTGGTAATTTTTATTGAATATTTCTCTCCGTGTGCAATCACGCATTCCACAACTGCGCATTTTAAAGAGCTTGACCTTCCCACTCGTTATTTTATCCCCAAAAACTCACTATAATTACATGCAATCATAATGCCAGTCCCACAATGGGTTTTTTTTTCGCGGGCTCATACACTATTGCGCACTCAACGAGCAAGTGAAAAAACTATCCCGAGGGTAATTGTGGTGAATTGTAAGGAGATTCATACCCACACATGCAGCCATTGCTACCACACCAGTGTCGTAAGAGTGAATACCCGGAAGAATTTTGCCGGCTAAATGAAGGAAACGCGTGCATTTTATCTTCCTTTCATTCATTCACCTCCCTTCGGTTTCTCTGTCAGTGGTTGAAATGGTGTTTTTTTTTTTCACCCAACGTCTCAACAAGAACCGTGACGATCTTGCAAGCAGTGCATGGGTATCACGAGAGGATTGAGATAAATATATTTAGCTTCATTTTACGTATCTAATTTCGACATTTCGATTAGCATTGTGAAATTCATTTTTCCCACACTTCCGGTGAGGGAAAATACAATTTACCTTCACAAAACATTGGAGGTTTAATGAGTTGGCATTTTTCATACCACTTATTAATGAAAATTTCAATTTTCCCCGGGTAATTGGTCCATTTACATATTACGATTCAATTGACACGTATTTCTGCAGAAATTCCTCCTTCAGAATTTAATGACAGATTTTTATTTTTATTTTTTTGTTTCCCTATTACGTATGTTCTTTGAATTATTGATTTATTATGAAGGATTATGAAGAATTATGGAGTAAATTTCCATCGATCGCGGAATTATTATTCACACTCGGGCTATATTCGTGTTTACGGTGTTTTTTGAAGTGCAGTTGCGTAATTGGTAGTACGGGAGCAATGCGCTCCTCACGTC